ATCCAAAGTAAGCAGCACTCCTCCATGGCTTCTGCTTTAGTACCTATCTCCAGGTTCCTGCCTTGGCCATTGTCAATGGACTGTGACCCACATATAAGTCAAGTAAACCCTTTCCTGCCCAAGTAGGTTTTGGTTATGGCATCTGTCACAGCAATAGAAAGCGAACTAGAACAGCAGGTAAAAGCGCTTGCTGCAGAGCCTGATGACTTCCGTTTTATCCTGGATCCCACACAGTTCCTACAAGTTGTCCCCTGACCTCCACAAGCACTCCATAGTACATACACAGTAAGTAAATAAAGAACATAATTAAAAATTTTAATAAGCTCCCAAGTGTGAAATTGATTTTTACCGAGGGAGGAGGGGCACAAGTAGGCCCACACACACGGAAACTTCTAGTTCCTGTTGCTCTGATGGTCCCCAGCATTATGGGGCTGCCTATCAGAAGCTGAGCCAGAAACAGTTACACACACACATTGGCCAGGGTTCTAATGGTCAAGGCTGACAGCAGCTCAGGGCAAGTTTAAAACATTGCCATTTGCCTGGTTGAGAGCTGGACAGTGACAGTAGCAGTTGGTGAGGAATCTCAAAATACAGAAGGCAGTTAGGAGTCTCTGTTTACCAGGCTGTTTTTAGCAGCCCAGAAGGCAGGCTGGGGGCGTCCATAACTCCAGGCAGTTTCCAGGTACTGGGTCCAATCAGCACAGAATGCCGAGCATCTCAAATTATTTTTGCCTTGAAAACAAGCCCTGGTAACACCACTCTATCTGCTGCTATCACAGTGGACATATGTCACTAGACATTTACCCAGATATATAGGATATATGCCTTAACAGTGTACCCCAAACTGCAATAATGATGTGTTAACGTGGGTTTGTCTCTGGTACCAAACATACTGCTGTGGTAAGTGATGGCAATAATGGGTAGACTGTGTGTGGGCAGGGGTGAAATGGAGTGATGGGAAACTTATAAATTTCCCTCTTGATTTTCCTGTGAGCCCCAAACAGTCCTGTGTGTGTATGTCTGTATGTGTTCCCCTGTGTGTACATGTATGCATTGTGTGCATGTTTGTGGGTCAAATACCAATATCCAGTATCCTCCCCAATAACTTTCCATCTAATTTTTCGAGGCAAGGTCACACTGAACCTAGAACTCACCAATCCAGATGGACTGGCTGTCCAGCAAGGTCCAGGGACCCTTCTGCCCCTGTCTCCCCAAGCACTGGAATTACAGATACCTGCCTTGAACTTGGGTTTTTAAATGAGCACTAAATGTGGGTCCTGGTGTTTGCACAACAAGTACATCACTAGCTGAGCTACCTCCCATCCCCCCACCCCAATTAAAGGTAAGTCTAGCTAGGCATGGCAACCCAGAAGGCTGAAACAGGGGAATTGTGAGAAGGTAGTGTGAGTAAGAATGGGTAAGAGTAAAGCCCTCTGAACCTGGGTTCAAACATCAGCAGGGTGGCCTCGGCTGCTCACTTCATGGGAGAAAGGAGGTAAGGATGGGTAGGGAAGGAAGAAGTGATTGGGAAATAGAGAATGGAAGGAGGAAGGTGAAGAAGGAGGGAGGAAGTAAGGAAAGGAGGGAGGGATGTAGTGATATATTATTTATGGTTTGTTAAAGCTTGCCTGAAGATTCAGAAAGCAAAGTCAGCCACAAGCTATAGAAGCCAGGCCCACACCTTTAATCCCAGCAGCCAGAAGCTAGAAGGTGGTGGTACACACCTTTAATCCTAGGATTCAGGATTAAGAGATAGATGGATCTCTGTGAGTACAAGGCCAACCAGATCTACACAAGATTGATCCAGTCCTAAACAGAAACAACAGCTCACACAAAGATGATCTCAACATCTGGGATCACATACCTTTAATCCCAGCATTAGGGAGGTATATACAACCTAGGAGCAGGGTCTTCAGTAGTCAGTATCAGGCATTCATTCTCCAGCCACGTTGAGAATAGGAATGCCCCAGCCCTGTTAGAGATATCAGCTCTCTGGTAGCTTGGCTGCTTTGCTTCCCTGATGTTCAGCTTGAAGCTTGAACCCCAATATCTGTCTCTGGGTCTTTTATTTATCATGTTACAGAGGGAAGCAAGCTAAAGCGCTGTACCAGGAGGACCATGCTGAAAGGAAGCACTAAACAAGACCTGCAGGTGAGGGGTGTGGGTATCACAGAGATTCTCTACATCTCCAGGGTCTTAGATTAAAAAAAAAAATGTAGTTTGGAAAAAAAGAATGGAGTTTGGCAAGATGGAATGTTCCCCATTCTCCCAATTGTAAACTTCTGAATGGCTGAGATAGGGTAATTCTTTGAACAGCTAGTGTCGTCAACTATTGCAGAAGGCACAGGAAGTTCCCAACATGGCGGTGATGCAAGAGGGAAGACCTGCCCAGAGGAAGTGTCTATGGTATGAAGGCAGGATCACAGCAGTCTCTGAGCCTGCTCTCTTCTTGTCCTCCCTGCTTCAGCACCAAGGCTTGTGCCCAGATGCTACCCCCACCATGGCTGTCAGAGGTCTCTCTGTCTGTTTCTGTCTGTCTGTCTCTGCCTCTCTCTCTCTGTCTCTGTCTCTCCCTCTGTTTTTCAAGTGCTTCTCTGTGTAGCTCTGTAGACCAGGCTGGCCCCGAACTTACAGAGATCCACTTGCCTTGGCCTCCCAAATGCTGGGATTAAAGCCTTGTGTCACCACTGCCCGGCTTGTCAGAGGTCTCTTATCAGCTAAAATTGCCAGAGAATTAAGCTCCCAGCTCCCAGTAGCCCTCACTCAACAGTTCTGTGGATGAACAACACTGGGCTCCTGTGTATACCTTGCACAAACTGCCAGGTCTCTGGCAGGTTTAAGAACCAGAAAATGGTCTGTTGTGTTGACCTGTCCATCACACACATTTCCTGACTTTCCAAATCCCTCCTGGTGTTCCTAGTTGGTGACATTTCCCTGATATATGACCAGCCTTGCTTCAGGGCCTTCTTCATGGGGAATTCATATGAAGAAAGGGGTAGACATTCGTCTTGGAAGACAAACACACATGCAGCTGAAAGGACAATCCTGTCCCCATGTTGGAAACCTGTATACTGCTGGGATATGACTTAGCTCAGGAGCAGAGGGTATGTTAAGCATGCACAATGCTCTAGGTCCAATCCCTAGCACATAACTCACCATAAACCAACCAACCTGTTGCCCCGAAGCAGCTGTGAATTCTTGATCAAGATTGCACAGCTGTGAGATGCCCCCAGCATGTTCATTTACAACTATCAGTATCTCCTTGGGATGGGCCATCCTCACCTGTGCAATGTCTGCCTCTTCCTGGCTGTGCCTTCCCCTTCCCTGGCCTGTCCAACTCTCTGTCTACAGAGGGTGCACCCAGTAGTTCTCAACAGCCTCTTGGAGTCACAACTCAGCCTGTGGCCTTAGAATGGCTTCCCTGGCAGCTATTCACATCCCCCTTCAGGCTGGACATGAGGAAGGAGGTGAACACCACACCATTTGCCTGAGAAACAGCCATGCATCATAGGTTCCATTGCCTCCATTTTTCTTTTTGTTTTTTTTTTCTTCCATGTAACTTTCTGAAAGTCAAAAGGATTGATATCTTTATACCCTGGACAATCACTCCCCTGATTAAACTGTTCATCATTGGTGGCAAAAGCATCTCTAGGGTGGTGGTGCTATGAATCTCTATATATGGTAAGATTTTACAGAACTGGGGAGGAATGCATACCTCATGAGAGTTCTTGCTTCATAAGCATGGTGATCTGAGCTTGGATCCCAGAACCCACCAAAAAAAAAAAAACAGGCATGGATATGCATATATGGACATACATAACCTGTATGCTGTCGGGACAGGGGCAGAAGGATTGCTGGAGCTTGCTGGCCTCCAGTCTATTCTAGGTTCAGTGAGAGCCCCTGACTCAAAAAAATAAGGCCGAGTGTGATAGAGCAGGACGCATGACACTCTCCTCTGGCTCCACACACAAATGCACATTCATACACCTTACACACTCCACACACATACATTCCCATATACACCAAGAGTGAAAAGATTTCATAGGCCTACACAAGCAAACTCTCTCTCTCTCTCTCTCTCTCTCTCACACACACACACACACACACACACACACACACACATATGTACATGTGCACATGCATGCAGGCACACACACAGATTCTTTTTCTCTCTCTCATACACACACATCCACATGCATGCCCATGAGCATACACACACTTACACATGAATGCATATGCACACACACTCACACATGCATGCCCATACACACACATACACGTACAAACACACATTCTCTCTTTCACACATACAGTCACACATGCACACGCACACATATGTATGTCCATGCACATGTATAGCCATGCCCATGCATGCCCATGTACACACACTCACATATGCATGCCATGTACACATACACATGTACACACATATATGCACACACACTCACACATGCACATACATGCACACACACATGCACGTTCAAGCACATGTATGGCCATGCTCATGCATGCCCATGCACACACACTCACACATGCACGCCCATGCACACATACACTTGTACACATGCACACTCACACATGCACGCACAGGTATAATCTGAACTTGGCCTACTCTCGCTCACTGTGTCCTGTGGTATATCCTATATTCTCTGAGCTGTAAGACACTGTTCTGAGGACAGGGGAGAAGAGAACAATTGGAACTCTGCTATTTTTGAAACTTCATGTGAGTATAACTATTTCAAAATAAAAAACAACTGAAATATAAAATACTTTTTTTTGCCTTAGGCCTTTTTGACACAGATCTCAAGTAGCCCAGGCTATCCTCAAATTCATTACATAGCCAAGGGTGACCCTGAACTTCTGATCCTCATTGCAGGAATGTATCACCATACCCAGCTTCAAAAGAAAAAAAAATCAAATAGTAAAATAAGTTAAAATAACAATCTTAAAAAGAAAAGAATCCCCAGGAGGTGACATACATAGCAAAACTCAATCCTTACCTGAGAACTGGGGATCAGAGCTTTCCACCAGTGTCCACCCTTCACCAAGTCCACCTCGCACAGAGGCACTGCCACTTTTCCAATCACACAGTGGCGGGAGAATTTGTCAAAATCCACCACAGTGAGCAGCAGGGTCCTCCTCTGGGCTTCTAGGAAGGGTATCTCAAAGGTGTAGCGTTCTTCAAACACAGGCTTCTGAGTCTTGCGTTTGACTCCCGTCTGCTTGGAGTTCTTCTGGTCAGGCAGGAGGCAGATCTTGACGTAGGGGTTGGAGTGGGCCATGTCCTGGCGAGAGCCATCATGAGAGATAGGGGGTGGCAGGTCCCGGGCCTCAATCACCCTTACCGTGAGGTGGTTGTGCAGCAGGTCATACTGTGTGCTGAAGTGCAGCATGCCCAGCTGGTACTTGGACATGATCTCCTCATCAGTCAGAGAGTCCACATCATCAAGGTTTGAATCAAGGGAGTAAAGTCGGGGCTCAAACTTCCTGAAGTAATCATCAGGGGTGTAGGTCCGGCGCAGCACCGATGGCTGGATGGGCTCCTTCTTGGCGCTGAGAACCCCAAACTCAATAGGTTTGATGTCAATGAGTGGGGAGCTGGGACGCCGGGAATCCAGACCTAAACAGCCACCAAGAACAATGATCACCACCACCGGCCACCCGGTGACATCAGCAAAGGTCCCCAGATGCCCACGTGGGCTTCTCTGCTTCAATGGACTCTTCTGTGTACACTGGAAATGCAGGTGTTCCATGAGCTTTGGAATCCATTTTAGGACCCCTGACACAACCAAGCCCTCAGATGCTCAAAGCCCTTATTTGAAACAACATAGCGGCTGGCAAGATGGTTCGGTAGATAAATGCACTTGCTACTAAGCCTGGGAACCTGAGTTCAATCCCACATGTTAGAAAGAAAGAACCAGCTCCCAAAAGCTGTTCTCTGACCTCCACATAAGCACCATAGTGTGCACCTTCACACACACACACACACACACACACACACACACACACACACACACTAAAAATAAATAAATGCAAAAGAACAATATATAACCTGTACACACTCATCCATGTATGTTCACACATGTCCAACCTGAAGCCCACAGGCAACATGTACCCCAGGCTAGCTATGAATGCAGTTCAATACACTTGTAGATGACAATGAATCCAAGTGCCAGAAGACTGGATACCCCATGCACTATCTCCAAATAGATTAAAATTCTGAGTACAATACAAATGCAATGAAATGAAACTTCCTACATCCTTCCTTTTCCTGGTGGACTCAGCCTAGGGCTTCATGCATCTAAGCAAGGCTCTACCACTGAGCTGTAGAGCTGGGCCTCTCTTTAATTTTCATTTTAAGAAAGGATATCACCAACTTGCACAGACTAGCCTTGGACTCATAATCCCCTTGCTTCAGCCTCTTGAGTAACTAGGCTTATAGGCCAGCACCACCAAGCTTGGCTATTGCACCATACTGTTTAGGTAATAAAGACATAAAAAGAAAGTCTGTGTTAAGTATGGACACACACACACACACACACACACACAATAATTTTTTCTTGGCTTTTTGAGACAGGGTCTTGCTAAGTAGCCCCCAATGGCTTGGAATGTACTATGTAACTTGGGCTTGCCTTGAATTCACAATTCTTCTACCTCAGGCTTCAAGTGCTGGGATTGGCTGAATCTGGGTATGCAGAATGTGTGCATATGGAGAGATAATTCTGTTCTTATTTATTGTGAGAGGTGGTGGCTAGGAGCATCCTACCACAATCATCAGAGCAGCTGGGTGCCAGGTAGGACTCTAAATGGATGGCATGCCCTGAGTCACCTGCTGTTTACAGTCCCTGGATTATTAGACGAGACATTAGTCTACCAGTCTACCTTATGGATGAAGGGATAGACTGGAGTGCCTTCCAGAGCCCTGCACTTACGAGTACAAGAACCAAGAGGGAAATGTACCCTCTTGGGTAGCTGAGGTTGTAGCACTGCCCCACTTTGGGAGGGTGAACCCAAGGGCCAGGGTGCCTCGGTGAAAGCCCAATTAGCCTACAGACAGATGGACAGGGTCTACAGGTGCAACAGCCCCCTGGTCTCCCTGTTTCAAGCCTGTTTCTCTTTCTGTTTCCATGACCCTGGGTGTAAGCATTGCTGTTGTTTTGAGATAGGATCTTACCCTATAGCTCAGGCTTGCCTGGAACTCACTCTACTCCAGGCTGTTCTAGATTCTCTTGCCTCCGACTCCCAAGTGCTGGGATTTCTGGCACAAGTCGTCATGATCAGCTAGCTTTTTTCCCTGTATTAAGAGAATGCCCCTCACCCCAACTGTCTCCAGGCACTTACTGGAGATTCTTCGAGTCAGGCTGTACGTGGACTTGGATGTATCTGAGGACGAGCGTCTCCCATCAGGGGAGTTGGTCCTTGGGGTCAATGGGACATCACTGGCTGTGTGGACAGAGTCACCATCTTTGTCATTGCTCCGGCTGGCCATCCTAGAGGAGGGGAAGGGGTTTCAGTAGCTGCTGAGGTAACCCCCACCAGAGTCCCATCTGGGCCTCCACCTGCTCTCTGAATCCTCCCACAGTTCAACTTTCCTAGAGCATCAGCAAGTGTTCAGTGGCTGAACACAGGGACTTGTATCTTGGGGCACGCAGGGTGATGATGCAGCCTCTGACCCATACTACATTACTTAGAACGATGGACATATAGTCTTGTTTTTTTTTGCATAAACTGTGAAATAATTCAAAGGTATCACCCTGATAAAGAAAATAGCTTCAGGCCAGGTGTTGCTGGCACACACCTTTAATCCCAGCACTCGGGAGGCAGAGGTGGGTGGATCTCTGTGAGCTCGAGGCCAGCCTGGTCTACAGAGTAAGTTCCAGGACAGGCTCCAAAGCAATACAGAGAAACTCTGTTTTGAACCCCGCTCCCCCAAAAAGAAAATAGCTCCAGAGTTGGGTGGAAAGCATGCAAACCTACACTGTTGCCACATGGGGACGCCACTGTGGCAGGATGAAGTTGGATACCTGTCAATCTTGGGTCTGGATGGAACTATGAGGTTGTTTAGATGCATCTGAACTTGTGAAATTGGCTCTTGGGGCTATGTCTCCCTCTGTTTCAATACTCTCCATGCTATTGATTTAACATCCTTTAAACATATGCCATCACGATGTCACTCAAGGGTGGAGTGGCAGGTGGATGACTACAAAATGGTCCTGTGAATCAATGACTTGAGAACAGAAGTTGGAGGTGGAGAAGCAATTACGAATTAGCAGCATCGATGACTCAACATGATGCTAATGAAGACGAGAAACGCTAAGAAACTGGGGGAGGCATGGGTAAGACTGGGGGGACAGATGGTGAAGGAGATGAGAGATGATTGATACATAAGTGATAGATAATAGGTAGGTAGATGAATGGTTAGACAAATACTTTTAGTTGGAACCACAGCTAGGTGACCCTGGATGATTCCCTTCCACTCTCTGTTTCTCCATTTCCCCATTTATAAAATGGGAATAACCACAAGACCACCTTCTCTGGCTGCTACACTCCCAGAATAAGTTAATAAGCATCACGTGATACAGCAGTGACATAGCTGGGTGCTTGGTATGCTCTAGCTGATATAACAGAGATGGCTTTAAGATTTCTCCCCAAGTTGGGTTTAGCATGCACCTCTAATCCCAGCACTCAGGAGGCCGAGGCAGAATAATCCTGGGTTTGAGGTGAGGCTACCAAGAAAGACCTTGTCTTAAATAAGTAACAAAACAAGGTTTCACTAGTACTCAAGTAGGGCATGGGTGCTGGGACAGAGCCAGGAGCCTCAAAGAGATATAGGTGCATGGGGGGATACTGTGGACCGTGTGCCCTGAGCCAAAATGGCTGATTAAGGCCATCCAGCCACATCTCCTCAACTTGACATTTAAGCCTACAAGGGAACAAACATGTCTTGAAGCCAAAAAATGCAAGCTTTGAATTCTAGAGGATCTTTGGCGACACCTGATGGGTGAGATGAGGCTGACTTGACAACAGACTGATGAACAGCAACAGCCAGGGCAAAACTGGGGGGGCGGGGAGGGAGGGGGTACTGGATACCTGATGGCTCTGTATGGGCAACAGGTGAAATGTGTGGGGGCAGACACATGGGGACAGGGGACAGGATCAAACTGGGGCAACACTTCCTTAAAACAGAAGAGCAGCCTCTGGATAGAAAGGGCATGGACCCCTGGACCCCTGCCTGCCTATGGCCCTGCTTCCCAGCTGCCAAACTTCACTGTGACAGCCACCTCCTCTTATGAGACCCACACACTTTCAATGGTCAGCTTAAATGTCACCACCCTCTGGAGCCACTCAAACACAAGTGTCTATGAACACAGGGACCACCTCACCTCTGTGTTCCCTCAAGTAACCTGGGCCTCCCTGTTCCCCTGCCTAAGATGCTCCCCCCCTGGCTCTTTTCTTGCCCAGTTTTTTTGTTCTTTTAGCCACTCAAGTTTTTGCTTCAGTGGCCCTTCCTCCAAGGATCCAAATCCTGTCCTTGTGACCTCTCCCATCCCTCCGTGTATAGTTTTCTTTCTCTTTAGTGCTACACACTCATCTTCAGGGCTGGTCCACTGGCTTGTCTTTTACATCCCAGAACGAACCGGGATCAGCAACATTGAGACATGGTGTCACTCTTGAACAGTGATACTCAGAACGAACCGGGATCAGCAACATTGAGACATGGTGTCACTCTTGAACATGGTGTACTCACTGATCAAAGGAGGCAGGGAACAGTGAGTGGCACCTATGGTGCCCACAAGCACTATCTTAGGCCATTCCCTGAGCCATCCTGCTGCCAGCTGTTATGAATCCCTCCCTTGCTGATGGGAAATGCAGGCTTGTGATGGGAGTTGATTTGTCTGTTGATGAATGGTGGTACCCCAGGGGATCCCAGCTAGGCTTCAGTCCAGATACACGCTCCCTGCCACAGCTGGGCATCCCCTGCACAACCCATGAAAGCCATACATAAAGTAGGTACTCCATATAGGCTTGTGGAACACACCATAACTTGGCATTCATTCTCCTGTAAGAATCCTCCGGCACTGCTACAACAGAGCCGTGTAGACAGTGCAGTCACCAAGATCTTCCCCTTTCCATGTGACATTAATACACATGATAATGAGGGCAGTGTCTTCAGAGGCTCACACAGACTACACAGAGGCCGGTTCATTCACCACACGCCCCTGTATGGAGACAAGCCCCAGATGTCATGATAGGAACGGCATTGCACAGCCCGAGCACTTGACATTTCTACTTCCTGTCTGTTTGATAACATGCAACTGCCCACTTGGTAAATAAATCTGGAGCAAAGGCAAGCTTCAGATATGCTTTCTGAATGATTGAACCTGCTTTTCCCCCTCACAGGTTTTTGTTTTACTTTATGTTGTGTCAGATGCCAAAAATGAATGAGGGGCTACTCGGGGTCTGAGGCAGCCCGGCTCATCCTGGGAGACAGAAAGGTCGCGCACAGCTGTTTACATCACAGATTGTCCAACTCCAGATGGTGCAGTGCACAATGCCATAATATAAATGGCACTGCTTGGAGTTCTGAAGTATGCTGGCCCTGGAAGGAACATTCCAGTCCAGGTCTCTGTTTTTGTCTGTACACAGTATAAACCTCTTGCTCCAAAAAGTATCCCTTGTTTTTTTTGTACAGAGAGGCAGTTTTCAACGTAAAACAAAACTGTCTCCCAACTCAGTGTTAAGATAAGGCTATGCACCTGCAGCAGGGAATCTCTAGCTGCCTGGGGGTGGGTGGCTGGGAGCTGTACCTGACTGTAACTGGCAAGCTTGGGAGGAAGTGACAGCTGCTGCGTGAGGAAGAGAATCCAAATCTTTAACCTGGCACTGAAAGCCCTGCGAAAGATGAACTTGAGGCTCCTCTCCCATGACCCCAACCCTTCAGTGGAGAGTATCCATGTGCTGTTTCCGCCAGCTAGGCTTATCCCTTCCTCTCTAATTACAACACTGGAACCATCCACCCCAAAGGTCTGTCAGCTAAAGAGTCACACCCACTGCCTGGCTTCCTAACAACCATGACCCTCACTTCTCCTCTGTCTGTGACAGCTGTCTCATGCTATGATGGGTCACTGGTTACCTCAGAGCCACAGGCCCTGAAGGCTAAAGTATTTACTCTCTGGCTCAATAAGAAATGAATGTGCTTCAGACAAGAGCAAGCCTTCCCCTAGCTCCAGGTGGATAAGCAACCTTTCGTGACAGCTATTTTCTCTGCCTGAAAATGGGAGGTTCAAGTGACTGGCACAGGGCGGATGCTGGGCCAGTGCAGTTTTCTGTCTTTACATTTTTCTTTTGCTATGAAGTTGATAGAATGTGAGTCAAACACAGCAGCAAGGAGTAAGTGAGTTTAAGAATGAAGCCAATTCAAAGGAAAAAACAAAACAAAACAGAGAAACCATGTGAGTCCCTGGATGCAGTCATGCCTGAAGCCATCATCCCTGGATTTTCCATGAGACCCTAGGCTAGGTAGTTATATATGGTATGCGAGGTATGAAAGTATGATGGGGGAGGGATAACCTGACTCCCACACCTGCCTTATGTCCTAGACACAGTTGAAAAGTTCCCGAATCTATTCACAAAAGTCCATCTAACCTCATGAAGATGGCAGTGTCCCAATACAGCATGCACTCAAAGAAATAACCACTGGGCCCAGAAGGTGGTTCTGTGGGTAACCCTTGTCAGATGTTACTAAGGACCTGAGTTCAGACCCACATGAAAGTCAGCACTCCTACTGTAAGATAAGAGGCAGAGACAGAAAAGTCCCAGAAGGTCACAGGCCAGCTACCCTGGTGTATTCCGTGGAGAACAGCAAGAGGCCTTGTCTTGAAGTGCAAGGAGAAGACTTGGAATTGACATGTGGCCTCCATGTGTGCTCACAAAATGTACACATGAATGCACACCATACACCAAAGATCAAGGAGGGACTGCTGTAGTGATGTATTATTTATGATTTATTAAAGCTTGACTGGGGATTCAGAAAAGCAAAGTCAGCCTCAAGCTATGGAGATCAGGCAGTGGTGATACACACCTTTAATCCCAGCAGCCAGAAGGTAGGAGGTGGTGGTAAACACCTTTAGTCCTACGACTCGGGATTAAGAGATAGACAGATCTCTGTGAGTCCAAGGCCACCCAGATCTACACAAGAGTGAATCAATCCAAAAGAGAATTATAGCTCACTCCTTTAATCCCAACATTAGGGGAGTATACAAGACAGAAGCAAGGTTTCAGAGAGGCATTCATTCTCCAGTCACACTGAGGAGAGGTTATAGTCTGAGGCTTGGTGAGAGCTCATGGAGACAAGATCAGCCCACTCAGTCTGAGCTAGAGGTAAGAGCTAGTGGCCGACTGCTTTGCTTCCCTGATCTTCACTTGAACCCCAATATCTGTCTCTGGGTCATTTATTTTATAGACTTCCAAGGAAACTGAGCCCCACTTCTCTGTGATGCTGACTGGATAAGAGCATTTTTAGGCTTCAGTTTCTTTCTGTAGGTTAGTCAGATAGCCAACAGACTTTTGAAACTATATACATGTACACACTCACACATATATGCACACGCATGTGTGTATGTGTGTGTTTGGATGTATTTTCCCTTCTGTTTTGTCGCCATTTTTAGAATCAAACCTTGAGCCTCACACTTTCTGCAAATGTAGAGCTCCATTCCCAGCCCTTGAGTTCCTGAGACAGCATTACTGTGCAGCCCAGGCTGGCCTGGGACTCATGCTCCTCATGCCTCCATCTTTAGGACTGGGAATATGGGTGTCACATTGTACCTGACCATCAGCTTTTTTTTTTCCAGACAGGGTTTCTCTGTCTAGCCTTGGCTGTCCTGAAACTCGCCCTGTAGACCAGGCTGGCCTCCAACTCACAGAGACCCACCTGCCTCTGCTCCCAAGTGCTGGAACTAATGGTGTGTCACCACTGTCCAGTCAGCTTTTCTTCTGAGTGACAGAGACATGCAGCTTTTAGTATTCAAATGGTCTCAGCCACTCTGCTACAAGAACCCTATGGAATGGGACTGGTCCTTACATATCAGCTCTGTGACCACCTACGGGAAATCATGTCCTCGAAATGGGTGAAAGTTTTCTGTTGACACACAATGATGGCAGAAAGAATGCTTAGGGACCTCTTGCTCTTGGGCTAAATGCCTTCTGAAGGCAGCACATTCACAGTTGCTTGTTTTTGAGACAAAGTCTCAATACATAGCTCAGGCTGGTCTTGAACTCACAATCCTCCTGCCTCCACCTCCTGGGATTAAAAGCATGCATTACTATGGTTACCCTTCTTCACTTACTCTAAATTACAGCCCTGTGAAATAAATTATTTTACTATTCTCATTCTCTAGATAAGGAAATCAAAGCCAAACCAAGGTTTTTAAAAGTTACACTTACTTGCTAGGCGGTGGTGGTGCACACCTTTAATTCCAGCACTCAGGAGGCAAAGGCAAGTGGATCTCTATGAGTTTGAGGTCAGCCTGGTCTACAAAGTGAGTTCCAGGACAACCAGAGAAATCTTGTCTCAAAAGAAAGAAAGAAAGAAAGAAAGAAAGAAAGAAAGAAAGACATAAAAACAAACAAAAACATTACACTCACAGGGCTGGGGACATAGCTTATTGGTAGAATGCTTGACTGGCATGCATAGGCCTAGGAATGGTGGTCTATGCTTGTAGTCCTAGCACTCAGAAGCAGGAAGATCAGAAGTTCAAGGTCATCTTTGACAACATAGCAAGTTCAGGGACAGTCTAGGCTATATGAGACCCTGTCTTAAAAAATAAAAATAAAAGTGTGGTGGCCTATGGCTTTAATCCTAGCTCCCAGGAGGCAGAGGCAGGCAGGCAGATCTTTGTGAGTTAAAGGTTAGCCTGGTCTATAAAGAGAGTACCAGGCCCATCAAGGCTACATAGTGAGGCCTTGCCTCAATAAATAAATGATGTTCCACTTTTGATCATCAGCAAAGTCTCAAGTACTCTTAAATACTTTTCTAAACACATATTCAACAAACATGTTTGGTATACTATTGTTTATCATCCCCCCTCCTTATTTTTTTCTAAGACAGGGTTTCGCTGTGTAGTCCTGGCTGTCCTGGAAATCACTCTGTAGGCCAGGCTGCCCTCAAACTCACAGAGATCTGCCTGCCTCTGCCTCCTGTGTACCGGATTAAAGGCGTGCACCACTGATGCCTGGCTTATTATCATCTCATTTTACAGATGGAAAACCAAGACTCATAGAAGCCAAGCAACTTTCCCAGGGTTAAAGAGCTAGAAAGCTGTAGTAGAAACTGAGTTTGAACTCACATAGGCTGACATGAAGCAACTGTGTTCTGGAAACATCTGAAACTTGCTTCTAAGAAGAAAAAAATAAGCATGCACAGCATGACCTCCAACCCTGAGGAAGGATAGGGCTCCAGGGGCCTCTGGGATTGCAGCCCAAGATTCAGCCAAGACAGTTCTAAGTGCTACCCCTGGGTTCCATTTATACCCAGCACCGTCTCCTCTCTGGGCCTCCCTCCCAGAGTCCCCAACAGCTGTTGATTATTATTTCTAGGTTTTTCCCAGCCCAGGTCTCCTGGCTCCTCCCCAAGTCTCTGACCACATCCCTCTCCCTGCCACAGAGAGGTGGATCAGACATGTGGCCAAGCTTCAAAACTGCCTTCCCAAAATATCCAAGCGACTGGCAGATGGAGATGGTGTATGAGGGCGCGCAGGAGGGGAATGGATTAGAAATAAACCGGAAGATGCCAGAGTGAGCACCACCAGCATTGGAAGCAGGGTGGGCTGGGCATCCCTCCCCCAGGGATACAGATCTTGTTCAGGTCGACTGAAAGACACCATTCCAAAGGTGCTAGCAGCTAAGATTCACTGAGCATCTACTTGGGGCAACCCTGGGGCTGGGTATTAGGATGATCTGTTATGCTGTCTGGGAAGGGGACACTCAGACACTGGTCCTCCTTTGAAGGCTGTTGCTTTCAAAAAGTTCTTCACAAAGAACCCAGATCTTTTTCTGCTTGGATACTTAGTCTACTTAAAGTGTCCCCAAGATTAGCATCACCCAGCTAGCATCTCAGAAGTTCGGTGTGAGAGTGGCTGAGCAGGAGCCTCACTGCCAGCTGGTGCTACCAGCTGGCCCACAAATGAGAGGGCACAGAGAAGCCCTTCTTGGCTACGGCCATGGTAACTCAGCCTATCTCACCCCACCCTCTGCCAGTCCTCCAGTGGAGAGGATGCTGGGAGGTAAATTTCCAAGTGGGTTACTCACAGCCATGGAGGAGTCTGGGCAGGGAAAGGTCCCAAGATCTCCACTTCATCTTCATTGGACTGGCAGCAGCTGGACTCGTAGCACCTCTGACAGCAGTGTCGACAAGTCCATCCACACAGCAGCACATCAGAGATTCTAGAAAGAAATCCCTGAGGCCATTGAGGAGAGGAGGAGGGAGGGAGGAGGGTGAGGAAGAGGGAGAGCAAGAGACAACACCCCAAATTATAAGCAGTCCATCTGGGATGTGCCCCACCCATGACAAATAGGCACCCTAGATCAGAGTTGTCAGTAAGAGAAAAAAAAATTTCTTTTCCTATTTATGCACCGTGGGCATGGAATGACAAACAGAAGTGGCTGTAGCCGTTCGGAGCAAGCAAAACACTTGCAGGTGTTTGCCTTTGTAGTTTATGTGTGTGCCTTTCTTGACAGGTGGGCGGTTATTACAACATGGAGAGGGCCAGACAATATGTTCTCAAACACACAATGCATAGGGTTCTCTCCTGGCAAAAGAAAAAAAAAAAGACAAAAACAAAACAAAACCATGCTTCAGGAAAACAGCCCCAGGGACATGCAACTAATCTGGGGGAGTCCGATTGAGTTGAGACACACATGCTGTCCAGGGATGTCCCTTTGCCAGGGTCTCCCCTATGGTAGGAAGGAACAGAAATTGTACCCTTGCTAATACCCTGTGACTCAGTACTCAATCATGCCCCAGCCCCACACCAGACTCCAAACGGAAAGGCAAGCATTTGATTAGAATCCAGGCCAAACAGATGATTGAATTAACCCACCTCGTTCAGTGGTTCCAACTGCCCTTTTAGAGAGCCACGGTGAAGCCAGGGTGAGGGGCAGAAAGGAGAGAGAGAGAGAGAGAGAGAGAGAGAGAGAGAGAGAGAGAGAGAGAAGAGAAGAGACCAGTTTAGCAATATTCCAGCAACTCAAAGAACAGCAAGACAAAAACAACACAAAGCAGCACCCTGTATCTTTGCACTCACCATTCTGGGGAGGGAGCTGACTTTACTACCAAGGTATGGCTATGTTTGCAGGGCTGCTGGGAGCCTCTTGGTTAACTAACAGCGAATAAACGGGAAATGTGAGCTTTTCCATTGGATGTGCACCGTGTGCTGTTATGAATCAGAGCGGGTAGACAGATCGTCAAGCTACTCAACACGCAGCCACACTTCAGGGGACTCGCAAACCTTCCCAGACTGAAATAGCCAGAAGCCAACCCAAGAGGGCCTGATTAGCTAAACTGACAGGCTGACTCCCCCGCCCCTGCCAGGGCCCTACCTTCCAATTCTGCTCCAATCCTGCTGGTGGAGAACATCCTTCGACCACCCACAAATGGGGGAAGGGCTGGAAAGAAGCCAGGAGCTGATCCTCCCTCCCTAGTGTGGTTCTACCCTACTCCACCCTCTTCTTATAGGTCCCCAAGCCCCAGATTCCCTCCTCTTTTTCCAGAAAAGGTCTCCTCTGTGTATCTAGCATTTCCTTATTTTTAATATATTACATTTCTTTAGTGCATGTGTGCATTCATCTCTCTCTCTCTCTCTCTCTCTCTCTCTCTCTCTCTCTCTCTCTGTGTGTGTGTGTGTGTGTGTGTGTGTGTGTGTGTGTGTGTGGTCACAACCATCCACCGCACTAGGTGGCAATCAGAGGACAACTCTCAGGAGTCCATCCTCTCCTTCCTTTACCTGGTTCCAAGGATCAAATTCAGGTCATCAGATTTTGTGGCAAGCAACTTTGCCAGCTGAGCCATCTTTACAGCCCCAGGATTTTTTGATTCAAAACTAAACCAAAAACATGATCATGTTAACCCACAAGGCAGGTATCAAATCCTGCTGACCTGCTCCTAGACTGGAAGGGAAGTGTAGCCCGAACCCAGGGCTTTGGGGTGCATAGGGAGCCAGTAGGGAGGAGACAATCTGGGTTTGTTCCCAGATGTTAACATCTTTCTACTCTTCCTCTTTCCTGTAAACAAAGCAAGATGAGTCCTCTAAGGCTGGGGATAGCCCAGTCCCACTCAGATTTAATACTGTAGCATTCCCCTTGTGTTTATTTTTCCAGCTGCCTTCTGCTTCCATCATGTGATCTTGGCTCCCTTTGCTCATGGGTTACACAGTTTCCTTTACAGACCTTTTATGTGCTTGGTGACTTGCTGGCTGTCCTCAGAAAGAGTATAACTCTGTGCCCTAAGCTAACCTGGAAGGCTTCATCCTCCTGCCTCACCCTCCCAAGTTCTGGGATTATAGGTGTGTACAATCATGCCTGACTTGATTTTTTGTAAGTTAAAATAAAAAAGAGGTTTTTCCCCACTGTACATATGTGTGTGTACAGGTGTGTGTGTGTGTGTGTGTGTGTGTCGTGTGTACATTTTCCTCTGAGTGCTTGTGCACATGCTTGTACATGCATTCATGTGTATGTGGAGGACAGAGGTCAATGTCAGGGGTCTTCCTTATTTTGACACAGGGAGCTCATCAACTCTAGGCTGGTTGGCCAGTGAGCCACAGGGATTCTCCTGTCTCTGCCTCCCTAGCATCAGTTAACACACTCAGCTTTCATATGGGTGCTGAGGATCTGAACTCAAGCCAAGAGAGTCCAATTCTAGAAAACATAATCATTAATAACAGCATAGGTGGCAGGACTATTAACTACAACTCAAGTTCCTTGAAGCGCTATTGGTCAGCTGGTGGGAAAACACTTAAAGGTGTTCATCACAGATCCCTCCCAAACCCAAACTCAGCCAGGCACAGAGTGCTAATGGCCATAGATCGAATGGCCCAGTAAGCTGGGAGGGAGGGAGGTTCTGAGCCTGGATCACTTCTTTTGATGATTTCTTAATAAAGAAATGCTGTGTGGCTCCCAACCTCCAAACAAACATACCTTCTCCGTGGCTTCTGAGACAAGGTTATGCCTCCTGGGCATCAAGAACCACCCTGGCAAGTTCAAGCCATAAAAACTCTGCCCTCATGGGGCTGGCATGAGAAACGGCTTGAAGATGTTTGCTATAAATTGAGCATAGACCCATCATCCTGGCCTCAGGAGGCTGAGGAAGGGGGGTGGTGAAGGGAGGCCAGCTTGGACTACACAGCAAGACCTTGTCTAAAAAGAAAAAAAAAAAAAAGCCAAACAAACAACTGAGGGCTGGTAAGACAGTTCTGTAGGTAAAGGTGCTTGCCAGCCATCAAACCCAATGACCTGGGTTAAATCCCAAGGACCCACATGGTGGAAGGAGAGAAGTGACTCCCAGAGCTGTTTTCTCACTGTCACACATGCCCTGAGATGTGCAGTCCTCCCTAGTCCTCCAGGTTCCCCCAGTCACCACAAAATGAAAAGTTTAATGCAAAACAATGCTTTCCAAGCACCTGTGGCATCCTAGCAATGTACAGGTGTGTTCTCAGGGCCTTTTATATAGCCATGGCGAGAAGAAAAGGTGCCAGAGGAATGCACAGTTTCTCAAAGCCCAGGTAAGACATGGTGGCCCAGGAGCAACCCACGACAGGGGCAAAGGGAATGGGAAAGGAGGCCCGCAGTCAGGGCCTCATCCTGCCTCACTCCATCCTCTGGGCTCACTCTTCTGATACCAGTGGAGAACTGATTCCCACCAGGAAGCATAAAGAGAAAACCCCAGGCATGGCACACAGAGGTCAGCAGACTCCCGGCTCACAGCCCCATGGTGGGCCACTACCCAGTCCTCAAGCAAAGTATTCCTGTTTTGTTTGGTTTTTGGTTTTTCAAGACAGTGTTTCTCTGTGTGTCAACTGGCTGTCCTGAAACTATCTCTGTAGACCAGGCTGGCCTGAACTCACAGAGATCCACCTACCTCTGCCTCCAGAGTGCTGGGAATAAAAGCGTTGGCAACCACGACCCAGTGGATTTGTGTATTTTTTTAAATGGCTGCAAAACATCACAGACGACTATTTCCTGACTTTCAGAAAGTCTCTGAAACTCATTGACCAAAACAAATAAGCTTTGTGGGTTCATAGCCATGCCCACTCTGACCTCCCTCTGTGCTTGCCTTAGTACTGTTTTCCCTATTGAAAAGTTGAGGCAGAAGAAAAAAAATTAGTCTCTGTGTTCTGTAGAAGTTCAAAGACTGCTTCTAAGAGGGAAGCAGAACCATTGAGATGCACAACTTATACATCCCCTCCTAGCCTACAGTTCAGATACCACTGTGACTGCTAAATAGCTGTGTGACCTTGACAAGTGACTTTACTTCTCTGTGCTGAAATATGGTTTTAGGTAGCTGAGCAGTGAGTGACCTACCACTGTAATCCCAGCACTCAGAAGACAGCGGCAGGAGAATCACAAGGCTAACCTGGCTATATAGTGAGAGCCTGTCTCAGAAAAAGAAAATGTATTAATTCGATGAAGAACCATAAAAACTTGTTTCACTGTTCTCTGCTCACTCCCTTGGACATCAGAGGGGAAGGGACTGTGACCTATGTCCTCAGGGATGTTCCATAATTGCTGTCATTCTGGTGTCGTTAAGCAACTATTGAACAGTATTCCAACAACTTCCAAGACACAGTAGATGTACAGTAAATGTGACCTTCATTGAACTTGAAATCAGGACCTAGGCAATCCATGAAAAATTTGCAAACCATTCCTGGGGATCAAAGCCAGAGGAGGACCTGGTGGTCAAGTTCCACCAGGTGACAGACCATTGGAGGAGCTGGGGACAAGAGATGGGGAGA